CCTAAACATTCACATTCTTTCTCTCTTCTAAGTTATGACCTTGGCTTCCTGTGCAGTATGTTCTGTTCTTTTCTAATCAGACAAATAAGGCGATGACTCTCTGAAAACAGTATTTCTTATAACTCAGCAGTTTAATGCATCATAAAACAATATCATCCATTCACAATAAATCAGCAGTCTAATATAATACAAATCAGTTTAATAAATGTAAATTATCACCTTCTTCTAATTCAGGAGAATAATGCAAACTAAAACTGCATAATAATTTCACAATCTTTAATTAGGGGTATAACCTGGCATAAGATAATATAATAATCTTACAGTACTCACTACCGAATTTAAAGTATTCAGTCACTGTGTCTGTACTGTTTCGCTAGCTTAGCTTAATTCGTAGCCGACTCGTTTGCACCATGGCTACTTCACCTGTCCCTCCTGCACTTTTCTGCTCATTGTGTCAGATGTTTAGTTACTCCTTGGCCTCCTTTAGCAGTAATGATATCTGTAACAAATGTAGCATATTTGCAGCTCTGGAGGCCAGGATTACTGAATTGGAGACTTGGCTTCACACCCTTCATTCACCCATAGCTAGCCCAGCCCCTGTAGCTATTGCAGCCGAAGATAGCATAGGCCCCGCTAGCTGTTCCCCGGCAGACTCCAAGCAGCTGGGGAAAGAGGGCGGCTGGGTGACGGTGAAGAGGAAGCATAGTCTTAAACAGAAGCCCCAGTTACACCACCAACCTGTTTATGTGTCTAACAGTTTTTCCCCACTCGGCGACACACCCGCCGGGGATCAAACTCTGGTAACTGGTGATTCTGTTCTCAGACATGTGAAGCTAGAGACACCGGCAACCATAGTCAATTGTCTTCCAGGGGCCAGAGCAGGCAACACTGAGGGAAATTTAAAACGGCTGGCTAAGGGTAAATGTAAATTCAGTAAAATCATAATTCACATCGGCAGTAAGGACACCCGGTTACGCCAATCGGAGGTCACTAAAATCAATATTGAATCGGTGTGTAACTTTGCCAAAACAATGTCAGGCTCTGTAGTTTTCTGTGGTCCCCTCCCTAATCAGCCCAGGAGTGACATGTTTAGCCGCATGTTCTCCTTAAATTGCTGGCTGTCTGAGTGGTGTCCCAGAAGCAATGTGGGCTTCATAGATAATTGGCAAACCTTCTGGAGGAAACCTGGTCTTGTTAGGAGAGACGGCATCCATCCCACTTTGGATGGAGCAGCTCTCATTTCTAGAAATATGGACAAATTTATTAAACCCCTGTCCCGATTCGTGATTGAGGTGAGAGACAAACGACCACATTGTGACAAAACAATGATTTTATTAAACACGTGTGGAGGAAAAACACTGTCACAATCCTCAGCATAAATCCTCCAAGAAAGCATACTTAAAATGTTTTTATACGTCAGGGTATCACGCCCCTTCATGCGTTTAAGCGGATACATAGCATGTATAAGTTACAATAACCACAACTCTTCTGTTGACAACCTTTGACACATTCAAAAAGACATTTTCACCGTCTCCACGCCAGGTGCTTCCTGTTGATCTTCTGACTCTCACTTATCTCTGGAACATCAGAAGCACATCCTACAAAAAAACTGTTGCTTATGCAGGCACAAAATGCAGTTACAAGCAAAATATGTCTTAACTCTTACCTAGAAATATTTTTTCTTATACATATTTTTTTTATGGCTTGTGCTATTATTATGTTTTTATTTTGATATGCCTTTTATATTACCCCTGTGTATTAGTAGCATTGACCTGTGAGTATATTTGATACTTTGCTAAGGCCTTATAATACTCGTGTTACTTCTCTGTCTCTTATGTTAAGCACTTTGGTATACCGCTGGTTTTTAAATGTGCTCTATAAATAAAGTTTGTTGTTGTTGTTGTTGTAGAAATGAATCTATATACTGTCTGTGTGTGCAGGCAAACTGTCTTGACCTCACTGCACTCTGTCTCACCTCACACCTCACCAGATAAAGCTGGTAACCTCTTACCAGACAGAAGGCCAACTCTTTTGTAAGCACATTTTGCAATATGTGTAATAA